TTTGACGTAATTTTACATAGAAGGTAATCATTGTTTGCCTTAGATTATTTCAGATTCATCCAGATGAAGGTGAGATGAAGATGAGGTTAGATGACAATCCGAAAAATTCATTATAGATGAGACGATTTTACTTTTGATTTATGTAGATAAAAGATAATGTAAGTAGCGCTATTAATTTAGATAATTTTTAAAATGATATTGTTTCATGAGAGAGATTACAAAAATTTATGATAAAAATTACGCAGATCATAAATTGTATAATGTATTAATTCGTCGCTCGCTAAACGTAATCGCTTTAAATTTGAGGATCTAACAAAGAAGATCAATAATCATTGACTGCTCATTCACAATTGACAATTCGATATGGGCTTAAAGTGGATTAATCAATTGGAACAAATGGTCTGTTCTTTATAGTTACATCAGTTCACGAGCGCAGCTGAATAGAACGGAAAGAGATAAAACTGAAATTTGCTGATTCGTTGAAATATAGTCTCCAATCCCTAGTTCGATACAGGCTTAACGCATAAGTCTATATTATTTCATTCATTTGATCGAAAAGTGAGTTCAGAATATGGAACATAACATCATTTCAGATAATTTTTAGATGAGATAACATGTTTTTTTAAGATATCTAATTTTAAGATATCTTATATGAAGATAAATATAGTTTATATATCTTTTATCTGGGTAAAGATAAATATGATCAATTTATTCATCCAGATGATTATCTAGATGATTTTATCTAGATTCTGGCAAACACTCTAGGTAATATATCTAAATTCCTTAGATGAAAATGACTATTTGGTTTAGACAATTAAAGAAGAATGGAGATATTAAAAAGAGAATCACATTTCCGCTGAAAATATATAATAATCATTTTATAGATTCTTAAAGTCTGCCTAAATATTCTATATTTTCTTAACCCCTTTTCCTCTCTAAACGCGACGTAAGCGTCACCGGCTCGTGAAATTTCGCAGTATAATTAAGTTACTTTAATAAACATTACACTCCTTTTGACAAAGAAATATTAACCGAGTTAACTTGACTAGGCTGGTAGAACTCACGAGAGCCTTTGACTTAGTTTCTTCAGTACACAGCGGCACGACAGACAGCGCGCTTCTAGGGGTTTATCTGAAATTAGTGACGCGTACATCATAGGTCCTTTTTCTCGCGTAATTATTCTAATGACGACGAAATTTCAAAGATAATAACGCAAACGGAGGTGCATAACGAGAACGGTGACAAAGAAGGAATAAAGAAAAAAACAAATAAAGCGGGTGAAAACAGCGGAAAGCAACTTTTTCGTTCTCATCGACTGACAATTCTGCAAATTGTCCTAATTATTTGTAATCGCTAATTAATTGTTACAGTACGAAATAATTCAATGTTAAGCGACGAAGTATGAATTCTGAGCGAGTTTTCGCTTCGTTTCTATACGTGATTGCGAATGAGTTTATCTTATTACCGCGTTAAGCGCCTTAGAGACTGCAGCAAGTTCGCGAAAGAAAAAAGTAAAAGCTTCGTTAGATTTTAATGCCGTTATTCCTTCTCGATACGATCGAAGCAGATTCTTCTCGCAGCGTCTCGTGGATCCTATAATTCTATATCGTTTGCTCATCTATTTCGTTCCGATGAATGCTCTTTAATTTTCCAATTCTCAGTTATTCTTCGTAATTACTTATTTATCTCGTTTGTACTACAACAGAGTACATAACGAGTTCTTCTCACTTCGTAAAAATCTCCGACACAGCTCGTAGCGTGTAGCTTTTTAATCGAAATCACCATTCGATTCATGTTAGCCATGTCATTACCCCATACGCGCGTAATATTATTTAATATTAAGTAATATTTAGGGAATATTAACAAATGGTTATATGTACGCTCCTAATAATATTAAAAAAATAATATTACTTAATATTATTGTATATTACTTAATAATATTATATATTACATATTTTATATTTTATATATTATATATATTTTAATATTCAACTCTATGTATAAATATAATTTATATATTTGTAGTCTTTTACTTAAAATGTAAGTCGAAAGAATTTTGTTTAAAAATATATTTTATATANAAATTTCATTTATATATATTTTTATAATAATAATAATAATAATATTTTTAAATATTCAAAGAACATTTTTATAATATGCCAAGAATATTATGTGAAATGGACATATAACATCAATAGAACATTTCTATAATATTAAAAAAATATTACATATTAGAATATTATAAGAATATTGTCTTAGTATTGTATAGTATTCATATATTCATATAATATTCTAGGAATATTATGCGCCTATGAGGTAATCTTACCGTGTTCTGATTTCTCGCTCGCAGCCTCTTGCACATTTCAACATCTGTACTGTACTGATCCTTTGGGTCGAATACTGCTTCTCCCCAATCTCGAATGCTCGATTGCACGGCGTAGCCGACAGGAACGATGTTTAATTTCCACATTTCCTGCCGGCATAAATGCTACCGTGAGAAACATTAAAGACCCACGAATTTGCACACACGGGCGGATCGCTGGTGAGTACACTGTAAATCCAAGTGTGTTATTTTAGACGCCTAAACGTCTCTTAAAGTGGCACATTTGACTGAAGCTACTTTCATATATTTTTTACCGATTTCACTTACGTTTGAAACGTTTATTAAGTTAACACGTTGTTATGTAAGTGTCGACGTGTTAATCCGCCCAATTGTTTTAAATGATATGATTTAAAACGGCAAGACATGTGTAAGAAATGCGTAAGAAGAGCTTCAGCTAAAGGATTTGCAATGTACACTGCAAATCCTAGTGTCATTTTAGCTGAGGCTTTCTTTACACATTTCTTGCCGTTTTACATCACATTATTTAACACGATCGAGCGTGTCAACTTATAATTTAACACGATTAAATGTTTCAAATTACGTAACAAATGTCAAATTTTTCGACGTTTATGCGTGTAAAAGTAACACATTTGCAGTGTACTCGCGCGCGCGTACGCGTCGTACGCACACATGCATACGAGAGCGCATACGAGAGCGATTAACGGGGCCTTTGGTGACGGTGGCTTTGTAAAAGCACCCTCTGGTTTCCAGTTTTACAATACACCCCGCCCCCGCTCACGTTGAAGCGGGAAGAGGCCGCGCTTTTCAATAAGCGTTTCGCCGCGGCGAGAACGGCGCAATTAGTTATTACCGCGCGATCCACAAACCGCCGCGTTGTTACCTTACAAGCCGCTGCTTCGTATTACTACGTCTGCGGAAGTTTCCTCCCCCGGGGGAGGACGCCTTCGCGAAAGTTGAAATATTAGCGGCCCCGTAAATCGCGGCTATTCGTAGATTCTCCCGCTTTCTCACCCGCGAAAAATAACCCGGCCGTTAATAATAAAGTAGATATTTGCCCGCGTTAACCGATATAAACTTTGCGTTATCCCCCCCGGTTGAAAATTTCCAGGTGGATTCAACCCACGGAAATCCGAGGAAGACTCGTGCAAATCCATGTGGGATATTAAAAATTCATACGGGAATCCACACGATGAAAATTCATATGGCAACTCGAGTGGATTGTTACGTGAGACTTGCGTTTTCGGCGCAATCCTCTTAATTACGGCGACCGTGAGATTCCACGTGGATTTCCTACGTGGATTCTCATCTTTTTTCTTTCAATAGAGAGAAGAAGAATCTTCTCTTAATGAGAAGATAGGACAACACATCGCGATGGTACATCGATTTTAAGTCACAGTCAAGCTGATACAAAGGAAAACGACAGATCGAACGAGAGATAGAATTTGGGTAATTTCGACATCCGATTCTTCATGCATTGAGATAATACGGTGACTGAAAAATTACAATCCGCTACGTTCTCTATCGAAGCATGAACATTTATTAGACGAGAATAAAAAGAGGGATGATCTATCGAAACGTAAATAATAGTAAATACTTATTACACGAGAATAAAGTAGGGAACGAAAGGTAATATCTTTATGTTTCTTTTTAAATGAGCGGTTAAAAATAGCTTCTATGACGTAAAAAGGGTTATGTTATCCATGACATCGGGGTCATGGATACGCAGTGTTTGCCGGTATCTAGATAAAATTATCTAAATACTCGTCCAGATGAATAAATAGATAATCTTTATTTCTATCTAGATGGAAGAAATATAAAATATATTCATCTTCATCTTAGATTTAAAAAATATGTTATTTAAAATTATCTGAAATGATGTTATGGTCCATATTCTGAACTCGCTTTTTGATAGAATGAATGAAATAATATTGACTTATGCGTTAAGCCCGTATTACACCAGAGATTGGAAATTAGATTTCAACGAATCAACAAGTCTTGTCTCCTCTGGACTTTTTAGCTACATCAGTTCTTACCAGTTCAACAGAGCAACTAAAAAGAACAGATCATTTGTTTAAATTGATCAATCTACTTTAAGCCCGTATCAAACTGTCGACTGTGAGTGAGCAGTCAATGATTATTGGTCTCTTTTGTTAGATCCTTAAATTTAAAGCGATTACGTCGACGAATTACTTAACCGTTGTGCAATTTTATAATCTACGTAATTTTTCTTACAAATTTTTATAAACTCTCATGAAAACAGTATCATCTGAAAAATGATCTAGATAGGTTGTGCTACTTATCTTAACTTTCATCTAGATAAATCAAAAGTAAAATCACCTTCATCTAATGTAAGATGAATTTTCGTCTAATTTTCATCTCATTTTCACCTCATTTTCATCTCATTTTCATCTCATCTTTATCGAGAATGAATCTAAAATCATCCAAAGCAAACACTGCGCATAGAACAGACGTGTTCAACGCGTTGACTTCCCGACGATCATCCGCTTCTCGTGGCAACCGAGCGTCGGAACCGAACACAAACGGAATCATAAGACTTCGTTTCTGATAAATGATATTTCGAGGTGGAGAATTTCGGCCAATTCGGTCTTCTCGGCGCAGCCTCGGGACAGGGTTTCTTAAATGACATACACAAGCATGAGGTCCATGAGTAGAGTTTTACTTGCTCGTATATTTAATTTGTATATAATGATTACAACCCCCCTAAGACTCTGCGTATAAATAGTACCCGCGCAAAGATCCTTCAATGTGTTTTCGTACAGTTAGCGCCTTGTTTTTAATGTACCTTCTTTGTTAGTGCCAGCTTGAGAGCTCACATATACATCGATCTGATAATGTCGGGTGTCAACGCTATTATCGACGGTAATATCGTTAAAATAACACATTGATCAGCGATTTCGTCGGTACGCGACTGACTCCATGTCGAGAGGTGTCTACGTGTTGCTACTGATTCCGAGTTCCTTGATCGCTGCTTGAATGTGCACATCGAGGGGCTCGCTTGCGCTGACGTCGCTATGCTGATAACCGTTTAGAAAGTAACACGTGCCCGATATACCGGCTGGCATCTCCTTAGGTAGATTGTCCTTGGTCCGCGGTTCCAATATAAATCCCGATTTCTGAATTAAACACCTGCAAAAGTTCACGACATCGTTAAATCAGTATTTATTCTTTATCGTTTCGAGAAATTTTCCGTCCTCTCTTTATTATCGTCTAATATTATGATATATGAGCCGTTTATTTTGAAAGTGACCTAAGTCCATTTATATTTAAATTGAGATATTTAAGAGTTTGCGTTTCAATAAAATTAAAAATATATGTGCAGGATACCAATGTATCACACTGCTTAAGCGTATCTAAGAGAGTTAAATTTACAATTCTTATTAAAATAATAGTAATTATCAAGTGAATAATATGTGTTTTCTTATCCCAAATGGAGTTAAGTCACTTTCAAAATTAACAACTAGATTTGTTATAAAATTTGAAAGAGCCCAAGTCCATTCAACATAATTTGAAATGCTTCAAATTGAAAAAACAATACTCAATTTATTTTATATTTCTTTACAATACTTCAAAAACACAATTTATGCAATTCAGGAAATCTTCTAATTATATAAATTACATAACAATTTACTGCTCATCTACATTTTGCGTATGCGGGAAGGATTTGAAGAAGTCATGGTGCTCCGATGTTATATATCGTAATAAGTCCATCATGTCTTTGTATTTCGCTGTTGTAATTCGTCTTATATTTTTATAAAATAGTGTCAACACAATATTTTCGAATTTTCTTGGTCTATTCCGACGTGGTAATAAATCCAGGATTTTAAACTCTGCATTCTCATCCATTGATGTCTTATAGAAAATTTTGTATGGTTCATTTAATGACATTTCTACGACGCACTTTCGGACATTATCAATAATGGATTGGACTTAGGCCACTTTCAAAGTAATGTTTTTAATTATTGAAATAACTGCGAAAATTTATGTGTCAAAATATTATCGTATACTCTGAATATACTTAACCGCAAAATGTTGTTTATGACAGCTAGACTTCAAGTTGTACACGTTACTACAGTCAACAACAAAAAATTGACAAATGGACTTAGGCCACTTTCAAAATAAATGGCTCATATATTTGCATACAATAATATGCAAGACCAAGAAACAGCATCACGTACAGGTACGTAGTTGGGCTGACGTTGACACGAAGCGGCTCACTCGTCGACTCGAATTTGTTCGCCAATGTGACGTTGTGCCCGAAGAGACAGTATCTCGGCATTTTCTTGCCCACAACGCCCGCCAACACCATCCCGGTATGAATGCCAATGCGCATCTGGATGGAACATTAAAGAGACCGGGTGAGTCAATAAAAGGCCTGTGTCCGACGTGTTCCACGTGGCACACGTCAGCAAGCATGACGAAGATTGGACGACAGTCGGTCTGAGAGAAAAAAGGGGAAGAAGGGATTGAAATAAAAAAGGAGAAGCAGCGATGAGAGGAGGGAAATATTCCTCGTAAATCTGCTTTAAATGTTAATGCAACTGTGTGGGCGTTCCCGTCGTATTTCCGTCGAACTTTTATCGTAGTTAAGAAATACTTTAAATGGGAAAAGTTTTAATAGCACTCAAGATGAGAATAATAAACAATGGAGCATCCAGCCGAGCGGATACGTAATAATCAAAAATTTCTCTCGATTGAAAAACTTGGATGGTGCATCGTGAGAACGAGAGTCGCTGCTGTACTGATTGTTGAAGCTCAAAAGCAACGAAGGTGAGAAAGAAGGAGCGCACAGTGTACCAGTGTAGAAGTATGAAACCGGAATTTTTTTGTAAAAATTACACGTCTGTTGTTTGAAAATGATAAAAAATATTTTATTCAAAATAGTGTCCATTGCTATTTATACATTTTTCCCACCTCTCCGACAGTTTATGAATGCCACGCCAAAAAAACATTTCTTCTTTTGAAGCGAACCAACTATCGAGCCATTTTCGTACATTTTCATACGAATTGAAGCGTTGTTCAGCGAGAGCGTGTCCCATTGATGCGAATAGATGATAATCGGACGGAGCCAAGTCTGGAGAATAAGCCGCATGCGTTAGTATTTCCCAACTGAACGCCTCGATCGTTTCCCTGACCCGTTTTGCTGTGTGTGATGGGGCATTATCATGGAGCAAAATGACTTTGTGTTGCCTTTTTCCATATTCCGGTCGTTTTTCACGCAATGCTCGATTTAAATCGATCATTTGCTGTTGGTAGCGATCAGTGTTAACGGTTTCACCAGGTTTTAGCAGCTCATAATAGATTACACCCTTCTGATCCCACCAAACACAGAGCATTGTCTTCTTTCCAAAGCGATTGCAATAGACGTCGATGGTTTGCCTGGATTCACCCATGATTTCTGACGCTTAGAATTCTCAAAATATATC